TGATGGTGGCTAACCGCCGGTGGGCTCGGTGATTCTATATTTACTTCTCATCTATATGCTTTTGTCTGAGGATGTCACTTATGCTAGCAATGTATTTGGAACTTATATTAATGTAATCATTTGAAAGCTATGTTGTTTTCAATAATTGGTTTTGAAACCCAAACTTGTACTATTATTTGTGAACCCCTTTGTAACATTATTTCTGCTGCAACTCTGTGTATGTGATGTGTATTTGCTTAATCACGCGATCTTGATTGTGATGTTGATTTACCGAGGTCTTTCGAGACACTCGGCGGACTACCGGGTTTATATAAGTGAAAGTATGCGCGTGTCAACGTGTTAGCGGGGACAGCCGTACTTGATCTTGTATAAATTGGGCGGTTCTGTCACAACTCCAAAGCATGGTCTAGCATGAAGGTAGCACTAAAGCAGATCCATGGAAAGTATGAGGAGAGTTTTCAGCTTCTGTTCAATTGGGCAGCTCAGATTGCCAAATCATCACCTGGCAGCTAGGAGCAGATAGAGGTAGAGATGGTTGAGGGCAAGCAGAGATTTAGGAGGATTTTTGTAGCTCTTAAGCCATGTATTGATGGCTTTCTAGAGGGATGCAAACCATTTATAGGGATTGATGCTTCATGTTTGTATGGCAAGTACAGAGAACAGTTGGCATCTGCAACTGGTATAGATGGGCACAATTGGTTGTATCACATTGCATATGCAATTTTTGACACTGAGAATGAGGACAACTGGACATGGTTCATGCAACAACTGCACATAGCCATCGGTGATGTTCCAAACCTTGTTATTTGTACAGATGCTTGTAAAGGTTTGGAGAAGGCTATTGGAGCTGTATTCCCAAATGCTGAAAATAGGGAATGCATGAGACACCTTTACCAGAATTTCATGAAGCACTACACAGGTGATGTTTTCACTGATCACCTATACCTAGCAGCTAGGAGCTACACAAAAGGAATGTTCAAATGGCACATGAAGAAAATATTTGATTTTGCACCTGGAACAATTGAGTATCTTGACACGCACCATAGTAGGTTATGGTACAGGAGTTCTTTTTCTGAAAACAGGAAGTGTGATGCCTCGACTAATAATGTGTCAGAGTTTTAATGCACAAGTGAAGAAATTCAAGGGTCTATTGTTGCATGAACTGGTAGACAAGTTGCGGGAGTTGATAATGGAGAAGAGATACTTGAGGAAGAAACTGGCTAGACAATGGCATGATAGGATTCTCCCTAATGTTATTAAGGAACTTAATCTGATTAGCAATCACCTAACGGTCCTCAAAGTATCTGTAAGTGATGATGACATTGCTGAAGTTACCATTGTGGACCAATGGAACAACCAGAAGCGCGAAACAGTAGACCTACAAAATCACAATTGTTCTTGCAGGGAGTGGCAAGTCACCGGAAAGCCTTGTAGACATGCTTTGGCCTGGATATTGTCCAATAGAGGGATGAAAATAGAAGATTATGTGCATGAGTACTACTCAGTGGCTAAATTCAAGAAAGCTTATGAGGCAAGAGTTGAACCTATACCTGATGGATCCCAGTGGCCTAAAGTTGATCTTGGGTTCAAAGTGCACCAACCATTATTGGGTAGAGGACTAGGGAGGCCAAAGGTGCAAAGGATTAGAGGTTGCATGGAGAAAAGGGCTACTAAAAAAAGGTGAGATGCAAAAGATGTGGAGGACTTGGCCACTTCCAAAAAAGCTGCAAAGAGCCAGAGGTTGGTCAAGATGGTGAAAGAGGTCCATGTAGGAACCATTGCAGAAAGAGGACCATAGAAGATGATGCAGGTACCTCACAACCACAGGTGAACAAAAAGAAGACAACCACAGCCAAGAAAAAAACACCTGTGAAGAAGAAGCTGAAAAGGGCAAAGGCAAACCCACCTCCCACTGTTGTGACTAGTATCACAAAGCTTGTCTTCGATCCATAGTCTACTTGACAAGGCTCAAAATGTTCTCTGATGCTTTTGGCAAAAAAAAACTTGTAATGTCATGTAATGCTTTTGGACACAAAAACTTCTCTCAGGCCTCTGATCATTTTGGGCACATGAACTTGTAATGGTAGTCTATGCTTTGTTAATGGCCTCAAACACTATGTAGTGAATGCCGATGGCTCTGGTAATACTTCGTGAGATGCACTTGACTGATGGCATCAAACACTTATCTAATATATTTCGTGAACTGGTCTATGTTAAATTAGGCATTATTTCGGGTTTATTTACGTGATAGTTCGCATGTCGCTTGTTCATTTATTGCAAGATAAACCGAACCCGAGGTCTATGGCAACCGGAATGCTCTGAAGCGATTACAACAATTCTTTGTCATATAACGCCTACGGTGCTTGGTGGATGTCGATATATCGCTAAATCAAGGTCGCCTAGCGCTGTGAAGATCCTCATTCTCAAGGCTCTTTCCTCTCACCAAGTGACAAGGTTGTCATGTTGTTGGTGGCAATGTGCTAACGTCTCGTAGAGTGACTGATGTTATCCTAATGGCGTTTCAAGCCCGTGCTCGCCTCGTGGTCGCATGAACAATTTGACCTTTGGGGACGCCTTTGGTTACTATGAGACCATTGGAGGTGGATGTGGAGCTGGGCCAACCTGGGATGGCACTAGTTCAATGTCACATGACAAACACAAGGATGACTGACCCTGAGATCTTTGAGCAGCGGTACCCTGTTCTTTTGCACACATTTAGCATAAGGGAGAACAGTGGAGGTTCTGGATAGTTGGCATGCTGCTTGTTCATTTATTGCAGTGTTAAGTTTCGACAAACATGCTGCAGAAACTTGTTCATAAATTGCAAACAAACATAGCTCCAAGTACAGACCAAATGCTTACATTACCCACTCATCATGAGAGTGCACAAAAGCTACCCAAATTCTAAGCTAACACTATCTAACACAGGCTACATTACATGAGAATTCATTTGATCCATACAATAGCCTCTAGGACAGTTACAAAGATTGCCAAGAAAATAACAGCTGCATTGTCCAAGATAATTGGACTCTTTTCCTTCTTAACCTCATCTTTCAGTTCTTTCACTTCAGTCTTCAGGCTGCTAATCTCCAATTTGATGTCAACGAGCAAAGCAACTTCAAATCAAGTGCCACCATCTCGAACCCTCCAACAATGTAGTAGCGGCAAAGAGTCACTGGACAACTTGAACAAACGACCACCGGATTGTGCCTGAAAACAAAAGAACTCTCCAACAGATTGGCAAGATTATTGCATGAATCGAATGCTCTCTCAAGCGCTTATAACAAATGCCGTCATATAACGCCTACGGTGCTTGGTGGATGTCGATATACCGCTAAATCAAGGCTGCTTAGCGCTGTGAAGATCCTCATTCTGAAAGGCTCTTTCCTCTCACCAAGTGACAAGGTCATGCTGTTGTTGGTGGCAATGTGCTAACGCCTCGAGAGTGACCGATGTTATCCTAATGGCGTTTCAAGCCTCGTGGCTCGCTCTCGTGGCTGCATGAACAATTTGACCTTTGGGGACGCTTTGGTTACTATGAGACCATTGGAGGTGGATGTGGAGTCAGCCAACCTGGATGGCACTAGTTCAATGTCACATGACAAACACAAGGATGATCGACCACGAGATCTTTGAGCAGCGCTACCCTGTTCTTTTGCACACATTTAGCATAAGGGAGAACAGTGGAGGTTCTGGATAGTTGGCATGCTGCTTGTTCATTTATTGCAGTGTTAAGTTTCGACAAACATGCTGCAGAAACTTGTTCATAAATTGCAAACAAACATAGCTCCAAGTATGCACTACCAAATGCTTACATTACCCACTCATCATGAGAGTGCACAAAAGCTACCCAAATTCTAAGCTAACACTATCTAACACAGGCTACATTACATGAGAATTCATTTGATCCATACAATAGCCTCTAGGACAGTTACAAAGATTGCCAAGAAAATAACAGCTGCATTGTCCAAGATAATTGGACTCTTTTCCTTCTTAACCTCATCTTTCAGTTCTTTCACTTCATCTTGTCAGCTAATCTCCAATTTGATGTCACCGAAAGCAAAGAACTTCAAATCAAGTGCCACCATCTCGAACCCTCCAACAAAGAGTAGCAAAGAAGTCATTGGACAACTTGAACGAGACCAAATTGGATTGTGCCTGTAAACAAAAGAACTCTCCAACAGATTGGCAAGATTATTGCGCAAATAGAGCTCATATGCATCCTCAAACCACCATTTACCACACCTATTTGAGCACATGTAGTAGAAGTTGTCATTCTTGCTCTTGCACTTGACGACGGGCACCAAGCACTGGGGGCAGTCCACGAGAGGGAGAGTCCTCCCCTGCAGGATTTAGCCGGAAGCCATGGTGGCCATGGGCAAGCAGCGATGGCGGCTACTTTGAGCACAATGGCGGAGCCGGGTGCAAGAAAGACCTAACCCTAGCTGACGACGGGAAGGGAGGAGGCGAACAGAGCGCCATGAGGAGGACGAACAGAGCGCCATGAGGAGGAAAGGGGAGCCACACTGGTGGGCCTTATCCAATTGACCCGAGGGCATGGACGTCCATACGAAAATAGTGAGGCAAAGGTACACACACTGCGCAGGTGGCCCCAAGACGTCACTGAGCGTATCATATGGCGTTGGTCTGAGTATCGCACAATTATAATGGTATGGTTTGAATTAGTCGAATTGTAATGGTATATCTCCAATTATCAAAAAAATGTAATGTTGCCAATAAAAAAAACTCAAAAAAAAAAAACTACTACGTTGTTGCACAATTGCACGAGCCCAGCAGGTAATTAGATGCCTGCCCACCAATAATCATCTCCGTCTAATAAAAAGCAAATACCCTGAAAAAAATAAAAAAAAAAACAAATTGTACTGTAAACTAATCAGTCCTCGTCTTGTCGCCAAGCTCACCAGGGATTTCCTCTCCGAGTCCTCCCTCGCCTCTCGCCCTCGCAAGGATCGCCTCTCGCCGGCCCGGCCGATTCCGCCATGGCTTCCGGTAACTGCTAGCCCCGGGCGCCCCCAATCCACCTCACCACCGCTAGTCCCCGCAGCTCTCGCTGCTGCCTGTTGTGGTGCTTTGTTTGGTCGCGTTACGTGGTTGTCCGTGTGATTCCTTGGCGCGCTGCCTGCAGCTTAGATCCGCACGGGGGTCTCTGTTTTTAGTTCGTTTTTGCTTGTTTGGGGCATTTGATTTGTATGGATATGGATAGGTTTAGATCGGTGCGGCAGGGGAGGGAATTGCAGGGGACAACGTTTCTGGGCAGGGGAATTAATCTGCGTGCTGAATTAGTAGGAGGGACTGAGGGAGGGTAGTTGGCATCTGGTGGTGGATTTGGGATTTACCTTGGTGCAAATTTCATAGGTCATGTATCGGTTTTCTTACATTACAGTTGTCTGTTCACTGATTGCCTTATGAATACTGAGCAATTTTTGTTAGGGCCCGTTTGGATCCTTGGAATTGAATTCATTCTAATAATTACAATTTAGGCATAGATTAATTAAGCTAATATAGTTCTATATAGAATATATTTGTATATTTATTGTTAGGCATATAAGGGACATACTTATATGTTGCATTTCTATTGTAGGGAAGTGAGTTGAAGAGTGTGCTATAAGTTGGAGAATAGAATTATAGCATAGTGATCTATAGAATCCATTTCCATCTTCCACCCTATGAATTTGAGATAGGCTTATTTGTGAGCTTGGGAATGGTATGGAATGTCAAATTCCAAGCCAAATAGCCTAATCCATTATGTAGATTTCAATTCCTCCAAAATGAAGGGATCCAAACGGCCCCTTAGATGATTCGTACACAGAAACTTATCATTGTGCTTAGTGACATGGAAGCTTCATAAAATTGCTTATATCCTGGTCCTCAATACAGGCCTAGTCGGGGAAAAAAATCGAACCATTCTGTGCTGTTGCTTGATGCATCTTGGAGCTTTTTGATCAGGGGAACTATAGGAATAATATGCGGGCATTGTTTGCTACAAATTAGGATTGTTGAGTATGCGACTCTGGCTGTGTGAATGATTAGACTACAAGAAGTAATTATCGTATGTGTATTGTTTCTAATAGATAATTTTATGGTCTCTAATATTCTCCCTTCTGGTCTACCCAATTATCTTTCAGATGAGAGCAAAAATTCGAAACCAGAGAAGCCTTCTTCAGCAGCTGGTGCAGGCCTCCCCAACCCTTTTGATTTTTCTTCTATGTCCAGCTTGCTCAATGTAAGCTCTGTTGCTGTTTCCTTAATATGTTTTGTAAGATGCTTATGTTGTAGGAGTCTGATATTTTTTCTCCCGGCTGAGTCACATTCCTATTCATTCATTTGTTAATTTTACTATACTATTATGCTCATCATGTGCAGGACCCATCGATAAGAGAGATGGCGGAGCAAATTGCAAGTGACCCTGTGTTCAACCAGATGGCTGAACAACTTCAGAAAAGTGCTCAGGGTGCTGGAGAGCAGGGTATCCCTGCATTGGATCCTCAACAGTATATGGAAACAATGCAACAAGTCATGCAAAATCCTCAGTTTGTGTCAATGGCAGAGCGTCTCGGGAATGCTCTTATGCAGGTACCATGCTTTGATTTCCCCACTTGTTGCCAGGGTTATCCCCAGATGGTGATTTCTCTTATGTTCTCTCCTTTTGTGATAGGATCCAGCTATGTCCAGTATGCTCGAGAACTTTACCAGTCCAGCTCATAAGGAGCAGCTTGAGGAGAGGATGGCCCGTATCAAGGAAGATCCATCCTTGAAGCCAATTCTTGATGAGATAGAGAATGGGGGTCCATCTGCAATGGTGAAGTAGGTGTTTTTACTCATGTTTACTATTACTATCCATGAGATATGGTAGCTTTAAATTGCTGAGATATATATATATATATTCTAAATTTAGGTATTGGAATGACCCTGAGGTTCTTCAAAAGATTGGCCAGGCAATGGGAGTTGGCCTTCCCGGAGATTCTAGTGCATCCACTGCGCTCTCTGGACCCGAAGAGACTGAGGAGGAAGGAGGGGACGATGATGAGTCCATTGTTCATCACACTGCAAGTGTTGGTGATGAAGAGGTAATGGAGTTAAAAGTGACTTTAGATCTGACTTCTAAAAGGATTGAAAAGCGTTGACATATGTGAGTTAGGGCCAGTTTCTCTAGATGGATTTATGTTAAACTAGCTTTGTTGGGCTTTTATCTCTGAGTCTTGCTTCTAAATGAGCGATTGGAACTGTAGATCCTGTTTATTTGGTGTGGATCCTGCACATCAGTCTTCATTCATTCAATTACAGTAGATCCTACTTATGCTTTTATCTGATAAATTCAGTTCTTTCTTTTTTTGAATTAGGAAAATCTGTGGTTGAATTATGAAAGAACTTTTCATTTGGTTAACAGTGTTTGACCCCATTTTGAATGGATGGATATTTTCCCTGAATAATTTTTTATTTTGAAAAAACTATCAGTATTTTATATGACCCCGAGGGATGTCCTTTAAACGGTTGTACTTGTTCTTTGTTAAGGCTGCATTTACAATTTCGATGACACAACAGGGTCTGAAGAAAGCTTTAGATGGTGGAGCAGACAAGGATGAAGAAGATGCCGAGGGAAGAAGGGCTTTACATTTTGCATGTGGCTATGGTGAGGTAAGTGAATCTGTTGAACTTTCTTAAACAAAAATGGATTACACAACATGCCAGCTAATGCGAATATCCCTATGCAGCAGGACTTCCACTATGTGTTTTTTCTTTTCTTATGTCACTACTATCTGTAGGATCCATGAGTTGTGCAACAAACATTGTTTGGTTTAAATTTTATTTTTACCAGGGCTTCTTGTTGCTGCTCAATTGTTTTACTTTGTGTTATGCAATTTCTTCATTTTAACAAATGTTTTATTTTATTGCAAGGAATTTTCTGCGCTTTTTGATCCTTTGTTGTGGTATTTGTGCTGTTGTATAGTTTTACATATTTGTAGTGTTCTGATTTAGGCCACGTGTGGTTATATCATGACATGTCTAATAGAATTAGGTTTCAATGTGTGATCACAAATACAGTCTGGAGCATGCTGTAGTGCTGCATTTCTGTTTGTTTATTTGCATATTTTAGATATGTTTATTTGTGGCAACTAATTGAGTGATGTTCTGTATATTCAGTTGAAGTGTGCGGAAATCCTCCTGGAGGCGGGTGCTGCAGTTGATGCCCTAGATAAGAACAAGAACACTCCGTTGCACTACGCTGCTGGGTATGGTCGGAAGGAATGCGTGGATCTTCTGTTGAAGTATGGTGCTGCTGTGTAAGTCAACCACCTGTTTTTGTTATTTCTTAACATTGGCAATTCCAATATGCCATTTGTGTTTGACTTGTCGAGACGATTACAGCACGCTCCAGAATCTGGACGGGAAAACCCCCATCGAGGTTGCCAGGCTCAACAGTCAGGATGAGGTTCTCAAGTTGCTAGAGAAGGACGCTTTCCTATAGAGAACCGCCAAGCTAAAGTGTATCAAGCCGTCAAACTATTGGTTTATTTATCTCGGTTTGGTGTGGTTGTGTCTGTAACTTGTGATTTTGATATTCTTTTCATAGCGAGTGCCGTGTTTCAGCTAGTCCATGGGTAAGAAGTGCCTGGGCTTGTTCCTGTGCTCCATATGGATCTGTCGTCACAGTTGTTCGTTGTCACAAGAATCGATTCGATTACAGCCATTACCGTCATTCTGAAGGCTATTTTTCTCGATGTTTTCTTGGATGGGACCGTGGGGGGCAAAGGACTGACTGTAGTAGCCCCCAGGTCCTGAAATCAAATGGTGCAGTACAGCTGCAGCCTCCAGGGGCAACAGTTTTTATCAGGTAAGTACAGGCAGAAATGGTGCTTACAGCTTGGTGCAGCATCACCGTCCGATCAGCGATTGTGGATTAGTTGCGTGTAACTGATGCGTGCTCCTACAGAGTTGTCAAGCTGCAGCACCGGTATGCAGATGGCGACGGATATGTCCTAGTCCTACAAGCTGTAAGCTAGCGAGATCGTACAGGCCGCCACCACAACACCACGCCCGTCCGTTGTAGACGACAGCACTCGCCTGCGGCTGTCCGAGAATCCGACATGGACGGGCGGTTGGAGGCCTGGATAACTCGTCGGGCAAAAAAAAGTTGCCTGAAAAGTTTCTGCTGCGAGTAGTCCGGAAAGTTGATGATATTTGTCTGGTGAGGCAAGTGTAAAGAAGAGGTGTTTGGTTGGTGCTGGGTCCGAGAAAACTAATGTATAGATAAAGTTTACTTTCTCGTCGAATAAAAATATAATATATGCTGTTTAAATAATACATGAAGACAAATACATGATTTAAATAAGTAACAAAAAATCATAACATAAACCATAAAATAAAAAGTGATATCAATGAGCAATTTAATTTGTTTTTCGAAAAGGAGCAGCAAGAAATTTGCTGTGCATGTATTAATAGAGTAAAAGCAAAATACAACAAAACTTTTAAAGAAAAACAAAACAAAACACCCACACACTGGAGCATTAACACGACAACCACCACAAAACCACACAGCCGGCGAAACAAACTCAACAACGGCAACAGGAAGACGCCATCAGCCCCGAGTTGTGGCGGCGCGTGAACAAGTGCCTCCGTGCCGATCTTCGCCGCTTCCAGCCAAGCCGTAGCCGTCCCCGCGGGTCGCCACCAACCACCACCACACCGAGCAATTTAATGCCTTGTCGGATAGAAAATCATTTTAGCGGTAACACAGTAACTCTTTTAGTAGTATCAGCAACAGTTCTAAGCAAACATGAGTACTTTGGTAGATGATTCTTACTTTGGTAGATGATTCTTCAAATAATCAATAGTATACAGCACTTGATTGTATGCCAGGCAAGCCAGGTGCACCCAGGCATACAAATTTGCTCGCCTGGACTACGACAGCACGTTCGTTTGGCTGTGGCTTATCGTAAATGATCGTAAATTTTCAGTTGGAACAGTATTTTTCTCTCACACAAACCAGCCAGCAGTACTTCTTCACGAACCAGCAACGATATGAACCAGCTAACCGAACAGGCTGCGAAGCATTGCCTGGTGCAGGCAACGTTCCAGGATAGCATCCAAACGCCATCCAGTCAGCTTCCAGGCAACCTGGGGCCTGTTCGGCAGGACTGAAAAATACTGTTTCGGCTGATTGTTGTGAGAGAAAAATACTATTCCGACATGACATGAACAGTGATTTCGTAAGAGAAAAAACAAGCCAGCCGAACAAGCCCCTGACTCCCAGTCAAAAGAGACCCAAGCAGTCTCCTCAACTAGGCCTGGGCTGTGTCTTCTCCGTTAATGACGTCGTATCGTATCGGATCGACCAAGCGGTTCTTCGTCGCAGAACGCATACATTGCCTCGCTAGGCGTCACCTTCTACGCCGATCAGCCCCAGTGCCTCCTCAACCGAGCGTGGAGCCGCTACCGCTCTCTCCGCCGCCGCCTTTTTTTTACTTTTGGCCCTTTTTTCAAAGTTTCTCTCAAATAGACCCTGGCGGAAAGAATTCCAAATGGACCCTTGGCTCGGCGCCCAGAGTGAGTGGCGCCGAGCTCGGCGCCACGGTGTCCGCGCGCCGAGCCTCGCCACGGCAAACGGCTCAGAGGGGCTCGGCGCCAGAGCGGATGGCGCCGAGCTCTCGGCAACCGTAGATCTTGGCGCCGAGCCTTCGCCACCACTCACTATGGCGCCGAGCTACCCGCATTGTTGGTGGTGGTGGTGGCGGGGTGATGGGGAGACCCCTTTTTCCTGTGGTTAGGCAGGTGCAATATGGATCATTGCAGAGTGCCTCCCGTGAATCGGCACCATTGTTGTTGTCGCCCCTGCTCAGCCGTCCTTGTAACCGCCACCGCTAACTTCCCTTTCTAGATCAAGATACGGTCTTGTAGGTAGTAGATGTACTCAGATGCGGATAAATAGGTCGAGGATCGACCCACCCATCGAACCCACGCTTTTCTTCATCACAAGGAAGACTACAAAAATATGTCGTGTAAGTGATATACAAGACAAACATAATGAAGAAACAAATAGTAAAAGAAAATACCCATGCTCATGGGCATTTGAAGAAACGATGACCTCCATCTATTCCCTCGGTGAACATCTCTCGCACTAGGCGCCTCCTCACCATGCATGTATTTTGGCCACTCTTCTTTCCTTTCATCGTATCCTGTCAAGCAGCCTCTTTGGTGAAATCACTTTTGTTTCTCATCGAACCTCTCATAAAGAGCTTCCTCAAAGAAATCGGGACCAAGAGGACCCTCCCACCCCTGTAGTTTTCTTCCCCTTTCCTCTCCCTCCGACGACCCTCCGGACATTGGTACTACAACGAAAGCAAATGCCGAGGAGTGTTCGCCTTCCTTATTGTTTGTGTGAATGAGAGGGAGTGAGTGGTTATTTATAGGTCAAGAGGAGAAATGGAGGCCTCATCAATGTGCCATGTCACGATCCGTAGTGTCTTTGCTTTACCTCAAATTTCTGGATCAAAACAGTCATAAGATGGATGGTGGAGATAGAGTTTAGTTGTGCTTCCTTGCATGTTGTCCTTGCAAAAGAGAGGTCTATATCGTTGATGTGATAATTCGATGATGTCCGTATCCTGAAAAGTCTATATTTATTCTATGAAAATCATAGATTCTCTCGAAATGCATAGATTCTTGTACACAACAGTATGTACAAATATTCCCGGATTATAAACGTAATAAATTTATAGTTAATCTGTGTACTACATTTGTGTCTTTGTACAAGTATAGTATGATTAAAGATTCACGCAAAAAATCACAAGTGTGGACGACCAACCGTAAAACGAGCCCACATCCACAAATTGTATGTGTACACGCATCCACCAAGTGACGGGTTCGCCCAGAGACCGACGACACCACCTCTCAACAGTGCCGCAGATAGAAAACACACAAGACTGCAGAGCCCAATTCAAATTGATCACTTTGGTCCCGATTCTCGAGGCAAGGGATCCACATCCAGACGCATTGTCACCCGTCAGCGTCTGAAAGAGAACGCAAGCAAAAGGTGTAGGATCCACGCCCGGCAGTAGTACACAACCGTCTCTCATCTCGCCTCCTCGGGGCATTGTGCGAACTCAGACGTAGCCATGAGATGGGAACTCCAGTCACGAGCCCCTTGCTCGCCAAGCTCACGCCCAAGGAAGGCCTCCACTGTGCTCTCCATCCTCCGACTGCACACCGCCTTTGCCTAGGATCGGTTCCCACTAATCCTTAGGCCTAGCATCTTCTCGACAGTCTGGCGAGACCGCATCTCCCCGAAAGGTAGGTGGAAGTCGTGAGTCTCCTACCGCCACCTATATTTAAGACCAAGGATTAACAAATGGCCATGAATGGAGGCAATGATTCACTTTAATACCGCTCTACCAACGCAGCTTATCGCCACCGAGTTGAACTTGGGCAACCCACGATGAACCTGAAAGGAGATGACATCCAGGCCAGCTCTTTGCAGGAATGGAGTGTACCTATCATCGTACCGAATGTCCAAGAACCCACTGTGGGTCCTAGAACGAAGGTGCGGAAGGTCCTGCATCGAAGATAACATAGTAACATGTTACTTCACGAACACATGTACGAATAAAACTTATAGATTATTACCTGCCCCAGCGCAACGAGACGTCCTCTGTGGGTCTCCTCGTACGTCGGGTCGAGCAGGTGGAATTGCTCCATCCTACAAAAAAAGTGAATGAATTAGAATTGCAATGTACAATGAAACATGAACTTATAAATATATACATAATTGACACAAATACAAGCATAAATTGAGACATGCATAATTAAATATATGATACGACAAAATATAAAATAATACTATAAACCAATAGTCCTATGTCTCGTCCTCTTCCGGGTATCTGATCCATAACCATCCTATGTCTCGTCCTCTGCCTTGATCCACGCTTGTTCCAACGGTAAGCTGGATCCGCAATGTACTTCGGCCCATCATAAGGAGGCCACTCTCCAGGGTCCCGGAAAGGCACGAAGCGAGGGCTCCATGTGTTCACAAGCGTGTTGACACCGAACTCGTGAGGTATCCTCCTCTCGATATTATAGTTCATGATGCCTAGTCTGCGCCACCAAATGCGAACATACAAAGTGGTATTGCTTGGTTTTCCACAAGTGCACTTGAAATCTTGGAGGACAACCACATGTATCCTCGACTCTCGGACCTCGCCATCGGACGTTGTACCGCCCCTATGCTCGACCGATAAGTCCCCTCGTGGCGTGGTCAAAGCATGCAACCTCATGTGTGCCAAATTTCTCTTGCCTTCTCTAGGTGTGCCTTTGGTTTGAGCCCATATCTCTCCATCACTACTCAACTGCAATGCATGGGCGTGTCTATCGTTGAACCAGCAACAAGCTTATAGAAGGTGAATTGAACAATTGCATTCACGGGCATACCACGATCCCCTAATAGCAATTTATTGAATGACTCGCCATGTTGTC